ACTACTCGAGTGGTGGATGATTATAAACTCATTTGCATTTTCAGTTTGAAGACGTCATCTCAGCTCTGTTTAAGGGATTGTTCACTTTGAAATTAATTTTTGGTGTGTTTTAGCTTACCTCAAGGGCATCCGAGATGTAGGCGTCTTTGTTTCCACAGTAGATTAAATTTTGATATTTTTAGGTCAAACCGTTCTCGTCTGTCAGTCATATAATGGAGGTCTATGGTCACCACCTCAAAGAGCATGCACAGAGAAGTCCAAATTAAACATGATTTAATGATTCGTAAATGTAAGTACACATTGATGGCCTAAGACACGAAACGAGCAGTTTGTGTGTGACAACGAACAGTTTTTATATCGTTTTTAACCTTGTAATCACAGTCACATCCAAGTATTATTTTATTACAAGAGGTCGTTTCGTTTATTACAAACCACTCGTTTTGTGTCTTAGGCCATCAATGTGTACTTACATTTACGAGTCATTAAATCATGTTTAATTTGGACATCTCTGTGCATGCTCTTTAAGGTGGTGACCATAGACCTCCATTATATGACTGACAGACAAGAACGGTTTGACCTAAAAATATCAAAATTGAAAATACTGCGGAAACAAAGACGCCTACATCTTGGATGCCCTTGAGGTAAGCTAAAACATACCAAAAATCAATTTCAAAGTGTAGTATCCCTTTAATGCAAACTTTAGTGTTTCCGGAAACCCCAGCGCTCTGTGTTTAAAAATACATTCAAAAATATGTTCGCCTGACCTAATTAAACCAAGTAGATATATATTATTGAAGGTTTGTTCTTCTTATTACAGATTGTAATGTTAAAATCCATTTTACTTCTGTAATGTTATTTATTTCAGAATGAAGCAGATTTTAAATATACTTCAGAAGAAGTAAAAGCTTATCTCGCCCCACACAGAACATGTGGGAGCATAAAGATTTTGCAAAGAGAGTTACGGTTTTCCTGCTTCGCATTATCTAAAAGAACAAGTCAAGATTTGACTACACATAACGCATTTCCCTTTGCATTTCGTTTTAGTGCCTGTAGGCATTCGCCTGAAAAAAAGAAAATCAGAGCAAGCTGATAAAATGTGTGACTTTGTAGGAAATGACTTGCTACTTTTTTTCATTTCAGCGCAGACACTGTAAGTGCAAAGAAAAAGCATTTGTTCGGCGTGACTGTAACAAGAATAATGTGAGATCTGCACACTTTTGAAAAATCTGTATTGCTGCTTTCAATAAGGGGAAAGAGGAGAGGCTTTCATTTGATTTTAATGTCGTTCTGAACAGTGAACAGTACATCAACATGAATCACAAAAATAAAATGGCAGGCAGGCTCTTAAAGGCATCCGTCAAGAAATGGCAAGTAATTTCAAATGATTCACGGCGAACTCTCACACGTATAATTACTCTTTCACACAACCACACGTATGGATGCGGACACATGCTCAACAGGACGGCTGAATGAGTTATATATGATTAAAATACACTTTTCTTTAAGCACACTGGAGAACTATGAAGGAGTGCTAAACACACAGGTAGTGGAGACGCCACTTTGGACTCGAGGGAGATTGACAGGGTTTCATTAAGCCTGTGCTGGTCACATTTCAACACCAAGTCAAGACAGGAATTAGAAATTAGATTCTGCATAAAGAAAATCTTATTATTATTATTTTCAAAACAATTAAAGGCATAGTTCACTTTGAAATTAATTTTTGGTATGTTTTAGCTTACCTTAATGGAATCCAAGATGTAGGTGTCTTTGTTTCCGCAGTATTTTCAATTTTGATATGTTTAGGTCAAACCGTTCTTGTCTGTCAGTCATGTAATGGAGGTCTATGGTCACCACTTCAAAGAGCATGCACAGAGAAGTCAAAATTAAACATGATTTAATGACTCGTAAATGTAAGTACACATTGATGGCCTAAGACACGAAATGAGTGGTTTGTGTGAGAAAACGAACAGTATTTATATCGTTTTTACCTCTTGTAACCACAGCCACGTCCAAGTGATCTGAGGCCGCGGGCGCTTTGTGGCTGTGATTACAAGAGGGAAAATGATATAAATACTGTTTGTTTTCTCACACAAACCGCTCGTTTCATGCCTTAGGCGATCAATGTGTACTTACATTTACGAGTCATTAAATCATGTTTAATTTGGACTTGTCTGTGCATGCTCTTTGAGGTGGTGACCATAGACCTCCATTATATGACTGACAGACAAGAACGGTTTGACCTAAAAATATCAAAATTGAAAATACTGCGGAAACAAAGACACCTACATATTGGATGCCCTTGAGGTAAGCTAAAACATATGAAAAATGAATTTCAAAGTGAACTATCCCTTTAAGCACATTTCCTCTCAAATTCTCATTAATGTAATGTGAAATTATGCTTCAGACATTTAGGGTAGGATTTGTTGCACTGGGTTCAATTTATATTTTTTTAAGCCATTTGTTATAGGGTAATAGTAAAAAAGGACAGTAATAAACAAATAAAATAAAAATAATTAAAAAAAAAATTATCATTCAGATTTTTTAATTATATCAATGAGACTATTGAAAATGATAATAATCTCAAAAGTAAAACAAATCCAACATAATTGTAACGAGATTTTTTGCGCAATACAGTAATGAGAACGATCATGTTTTCTTACATTATTGTAATGAGAATGCATTTTTCTTTCTTTTATTACAGTATTGAGAATACGATTTTCCCCCTTGCATTATGATAATGAGATTTATTTTCCTGCATTACAGAAATTCGAATTTTTTTCCTGACATCGTGGTAATGACAATTAGACTTTCTTTTTTATTATTTATTATTATTTTATATTATTTTTTCTATTGCTTTATGGTAATTAGAAAAAGATTTGATATCTTGCCAGTCATAAAGCAAGGTATAAAATATGTTTCCCATCACCACAGTTACCATGATATTTTTTTACATTAACGTGATGGGAATTTGGGAAAATGTGCTTAATCATGAAGAAAATAATGTTCTTAAAGATAGGCTTTGCTGATGCTTTCTTGACCTGATTATGTTATTGACAGGTTCCGTAAGATTCCTTCAAACGCTCGAGACGACTCAGGATGAGATCACTCACGTGATCAGTGCTGAGATTGCAACGGGCCTCATTCAGATCAGTTTGATACGGATCATACTCACATCTCTTGCATTTATTACATCTCTACAGCGTAACACATGTCCAGTGGAAAACTCCACAAATATGAGACAGGACACAATGTAGCTCTATCAAGTTTGAGGTCAACAAGAAATGCATGCTTATTACATTATCAAGACTTGACAATGTGTATAAATAGGTTTATATTATTTTCAATAACTCCCCTCTTCTTCTATAGGCTCTCTCGCCCTTTCTGGAACGCCTATTTTTTATGGTCGTTCGGTTGGTAGAGGAGCGCCATGTTTACACTGCGTCCCAACACAAGAAATCGATGCAAAAATATGCGACCCCCCCTCCCCCCTCCCCCCAAAATAAACACACATAGATTAATATTGGCAATACAACAACTAACGAATTCTCTACAGCCGCACTGGCAACATTTGTGTTGTGTTTAAATTTTGCACTTTTTTTCCATTTGACACTAAATACGATTTTCATTCGAATGCCTCAAACACAGTTGGAATGTTTTGTTCTTTCTCATTTGACTTTCTTTGACACGGGCGTACTCACTCTCACAATAAATATTCATACAAGCATAAATATTACATGGCAGTCAAGTCTTCGGCACATCCAAGCGTGGTTTGAAGTGTTTCAGAGCACAGCTAAACACAATGGCTCTTTGTTCTATGGCTCATCATCACACTGCGCTAGCCTTTATTTGCACCATGTCTAGACATCACTCACGGGTTACATCATTCATTATTAGAAATGTAACATGATAGATGATTGAGTTTCATCTATCTCACTCGCGTAATTTAAATATTATGTCTGGTATTGGCTGTGCAACTATTAATCGCATCCAAAATAAAAATTTGTGTTTACATAATATATGTGTGTGTGTAATTATTTTGTATACATAAATACACACATGCATGTTTACGTTTAAGAAATATTTGCATGTATATATATTTTATAAATAAAACATGCATGTGTGTGTATATATACAAAATAATTATACGCAGTACACACATATATTATGCAAACACAAACTTTTATTTTGGATGTGATTAATAAAGGAGTAGTTCACTTTTAAAAAAACTTTTGCTGATAATTTACTCACCCCCATGTCATCCAAGATGTCCATGTCATTCTTTCTTCAGTCGAAAAGAAATTAAGGTTTTTGATGAAAACATTCCAGGATTTTCTCCATATAATGGACTTCAATGGGAACCAAACGGTTCATGGTTCAAAAGACAGTTTCAGTGCAGCTTCAAAGGGTTTTAAACGACACCAGACGATGAATAAGGGTCTTATCAAGCGAAACGATCGCTCATTTAAAAAAAAAAAAAAAAGTTTAAGTTTTATAAGCTCAAATGCTCGCCTTGCTCTGTTCTGTGATGCGCGTTCGTGACTCTCCTGTTCGAACTCGTTCATCAAAATTAACTAATATTTTCCAGAGTCAACTCGTTCATTTCGAATGAACCAAATGACACGAAAAAAGATTTGTTCATTTTGATAAACGAGTCACGAACGCGCATCACAGAACAGGAGCAAGGCGACCATTTGTGCTTATAAAACTTAAACTTTGTTATTTATTATTATTATTTTTTTTAAATGAGTGATCGTTTCGCTTGATAAGACCCTTATTCATCGTCTGGAATCATTTAAAACCCTTTGAACAGTTTGCAGTTTGCACTGAAACTGTCTTTTGGACCTTGAACCGTTTGGTTCCCATTGAAGTCCATTATATAGAGAAAAATCCTGGAATGTTTTCATCAAAAACCTTAATTTCTTTTCGACTGAAGAAAGAAAGACATGGACATCTTGGATGACATGGGGGTGAGTAAATTATCAGCAAAAGTGTTTTTTAAAAAAAAGTGAACTACTCCTTTAAGTTCTTATGCACGGTTGTGTACAACCATACAAGCACACATGAATTCGACCGAATCTAATAAAGGAGCGGTTCTAGATTTACTGTAAAGCTGGACACCACTTAAATAACATCATATTTACAGCATATTAATGAAGTAGTTGACTCAAAAGAATATCTGTTATTAATTACTCACACACAGTCATTCCATGTCATTCCACATCCACATTCAGTGAATAATGGCTTAGATATCAGTCTGTCCCTTACAAAAACTATTGAATGTCACGGATAGACTAGTTTTAAGATGATTTATGGTGCCTTTATGATGCTTGTAGTCCATTTTGGAGCTTGAATGCACAAAATGTTTTCACTGAATATAAAAAGCAGCGTGGACATTCTTCAAAACATCTCCAATGTTCTATAGCAGATACAGTAGGACGTCACACAGGTTATGAATAACATGGTGAGTCAATTATGAAAAGAATTAGAATTTTTTTTTTTCCCGTTTTCAGTCATGTGAGTTTATAAGAGCTCGATTTGGTGTTAAGACGACCTTAGTACCAGCTCAATTCGTATAATATTAAAAGAAAGAGGTATTGTCATAGTCTCGAAAAACATTTTAAGAAAAAATGTTGAAGAAAATGACATGGACTTGATATGTTGACTTTATCTGAGCTACCGTGCGCGCACACACACAGAGTTATGTAATCAGTGCATATACAGTAGAAATAAAGAGCATTTGGAAAAACTGTACAGATTTTGTTGAATGTTCATGCTGGCAGAGGCATTGAATTTCTCCAGATATTTGAATTATGTCGTTCACTCACACATACCGCACGCACAAACATATAAACACTTTCCTGGACAGAATGTTCAAGAGAACGTTTGGCTACCAAAGATGAGTCTCCCGGATCTCTGAGATGATGTTACTGGCTTTCTTGAGGGCCTAAAAGAGGAGCAGTCAGAAAGAGAGAGCATTGGTAACAAAGGACACTGCTTACAAAAACATCTTGTCAATGTTGGGCTGAAACCTCGTATCTCCATATATATATGAAGAGTTCAGATGCCTCTAAATGCCAATTGAAATTTTCTTCTTTAATGATGATTTTTATCAAACTTGTATATTTAAGTTCAGTAATTTCACTTCAATAACAATTAATAGGTAATCATCATTGCCATTTAAGTGAAATCACTGAACTTAAATATACAAGCTTGATAAAAATGATCATTCTAGAAGAAAATTTCAAATATTTAACCAATGAAATGTCGATAAAACCTCATATCTCCACCATGCCTTTATTAAGCATGAAGTCCCGCACACATTTTGGACCGTCTCTGCTTGTTTGCAATGCGAGCATAAAAAAAACCTGTTTGTTTGAATAAGTTGTTTTCTTTGCTCAAGACACAAAATGTCTATAAAGGCTAAAGTTTCATGTATTTGAGAAGCAGAGAAGAGTGTCTTATTGTAGTATTTGTCGTCAAGATATAGTCAGTAAACTGTCTTAAATAACCTGTGTAACACTTCCTCTTTTACAACATGAGATTTTGGCCGAAGGATAGGAAAAGGATACAGGACTTGTAATATGTTAGCAAACTCAAAAGCACTTGTGAACTGAAAGTCATATACTTTAAAGTAGGGCTGGGCGATTTTTTGAAACGATATGGAATGAGGCAATACCTTTTATATCGATACAGTAGTTTGAGATGAGCACATCTGAAAAATAGCGGAGGTTGCAGTGTGAGCTGCTGCAGTGAAAGTAGCTAGGCTACGTAGTACAATTTGTCCTAAACATGACACAAGCTTATATTAATTGCGTCAAAATCACTTTGATATAGTTAACAAGTTTAAGGCAGCTTGCCGCCCTGTCAAATGCTCTGACAGACACTGTTGCTGACTGACAGATACTTGCGCTGTTTAATGCGTTTGAGATGTGGTGCTTTCCTCAGTGCTCAACTTACATTTCACGTATTCTCCATCTGTAAATGTTAGAAAGTAAAGCAAATATGTCCATTTCACAACAAATATGTCCATGTCAGAAGAGGACGAGCTTCTGCAAGTGAATCTCCGCTAAAATTCATGCTTCCTTGAACGAGCGCCGGCGCGCGCATGCGCGTGAATAGTACTACGTAGTACGCAATAATTCTGACTAAAATAAACATATTGCTAAAATATTTGTTGTTGGAGAAAATAAATGTGCCATATGTGGAATTTTAAACCTACAAGTATATATTTTTAATGAAAGTGAAAGTGATTATAATGGGGTAATCAAATGCAGGCTAATATAATTAGTTTGTGCTTTTGTTTTTGTTTTTATTTTCATTTTTAGTTTAGCTTTTAGTCAATATAAAAACAAAAGCTTTTTGCACATAATATATTGCATAGCCTATATTATATTTGTTTCCATATCCTTCAATATCAACATTGTTTGTAGGATATCATTGGGCCGAATGTGAATATATATATATATATATATATATATATTTAAATATAAAGATTTTCTTTATCTAAATAGAAAACGTAGAAAGTACCGAGATATATATCGTATATCGCCATTTGACCAAAAAATATCGAGATATGATTTTTTGGCCATATCGCCCAGCCCTACTTTAAAGCCAAGCTTCTAGGCTTTTACACACCATTGTTTATTGGATTGGAAGAGGTCTCTCGTTTTTTTCAAAAGTGGGACTACTCTTAACTTGACATGGCATCTCAAACTGCCCAAAACCGCCTGAATGTGCATTACTGTAGTGGCGGTGCTTTAGATGCGATTTATTTAAAGACAACTGAATTTTTGTGAAAGTATAAACAGCCTACTGACTAAAGTAGAGCATACTGTCAGATTACTAACTATATATATATATATATATATATACAGTATATATAAGTGCTGTCAAACGATTAAAATATTTAATCGCGGTTAATCGCATTAATGTCATAGTTAACTCGCGATTAATTAATTATTTTTTTCTCAATTTAATGCTCATATCAACATGGAAAAGTGGATCAGCTTGCTTTGTGCAATTTTTTTTTAAACAACATTGGCATATATGGTGTTCAATTTCACACTAACGTTCTCACTTGGAGCAAATAATCTCTCACACAATGTAACACTGTCCATCAATAAAAGGGTGAAAGAAATACTGACAGGTCCTGATATTGACGAGGGGGCGGAGAATTCGCATCAGCTGTGTGTGTGTCTGCTTGGCCATCATCAAGCGGTGTTTCAGACTGGACGTGCTGTGATGATGATAGCTCAGTTCATGACGACAAAACACACAGATCACTTTGGTCTTGTCAGTGGAATTTGGCAACTTTTTAGTAAAGTAAAGTTTCCTTTCAGAATCTTATTGGCATCCATTTCGACGTCTCGCGCTCGTCATCCACTAAAAACATAACGCTAATCAACTATTTGGCCGGCTCGCAGACCCAAACAAGTGCAGCGTGCCTGTTTTGTTTCCCGTCTAGCTAGATCCGCTTACGCTTTGGTCGACGAAGCAACAAAACGCCCTCGCGCGGCGCAAGCCATTGAAATGAATGGGTTTCATAGCGCAGTGTGCGCATGCCGCATCCTGTTGCAAAAGCATATAAAAAAACAACAAAGTTTGCAAGGACAAAAAGACGGGCCGCCCCCCTAAAACAATGGTAGGGCATGTCATTACTACATTTTTATTATTAATAAAAAAAAAAAGAGAAATTCTTAGAAATATCAAATTATACAAAAACATATCATCTGAGAATTAGCTGAAAACCAAAATGCTTTGCATTTATACTTGTGATTGCTCAAAAACTAAATCTCTGTAGCTCGTCTTGGCCCATTTGCAAAATGTGGTTCCTGTAATAAAACCTAGTATGTATTTATTATCTCTTCACACCTGCCTTATGACACACAACCCGTACCTCCAGCATCTGTGCAACCTCTGTGCGCTGCTGAGCGGTTTCCTGAGACTCGATGAGCAGTTCCTGTAGAAGACGCTGTTTGTAGAGCTGTCCGACCAGCTCACTCTGCAGATTCTCTTTCACGAAATTCACCAGGAAATGCATCACCGTCTTTGGCACACTGTGGATAGAAAAAAAAAAGATCAGATGCTCGTGGTCACTCAGTTTGTCTCCCACACACACACACACACAGGTGCTGACCTGTCCTGGATGCTCTTGCGCACGATCAGGAAGTAGCACTTGATGAGCCGTTGGATGACCTCGCAGTCCCTCTGCTCTCGTGTGCTTAGTTTGCGGGATATTGGCACGGCCTACAGAAAAAATATCCAAAGGTTGTTGTTCTTTCCTGGTTTTTCCTCAAATGAGCATGTACAGTTCTGCACTTTTGAGATAGCAAAGCCATACCGTGTCCAACAGGTTGACGGCTTTGGTGGGGCTTCCAAACCCAGGCACGGGGCCTTTCTCCTCTGACGGCATCTTCTCGTTCTTCCATCGCTTCCCTCCATCCCCTGCCTCGGCCTGCGAAAGAGATGATAAAACAAAGACTAATCCTGTGTGGATTTGAAGAGAGAGAGAGACAGACAGAGAGAGTTTTAGTACCTGCTGGCTGTTGACAGATGCAGACACTTGGGCAGCGTCTGTGAAATCAGGATGTTTGGTGTTTATGTAGGCCAACTCGATTGCAACTAGATTATGAACCTGAGAGGAAGTAAACACATTCCAAGAGTTAACATGATGACGCATTTTCACAATCAGTGCTCTGAATGTGACATGCGCTAAAGATTTTTGCTTTATGATATATGCGGTGTATAACACCAATATAGTGTTGGAGGTTTCACAATCTTCACTTATTTTACATTCCTTCAGTAAGAGCAGAGTGTGAAGGATGATTAGCAGAGCAATAGCACAGCTGTAAATCAAATATTGCAATCCACATGACATAATGGGAGACATATCAGAATTCAGAAGAGGGAAAATTGTTGTTGCACGTCTCACTGGCTCATCTGTGACCAGGACAGCGAGTCTTTGAGGTGTATCGAGAGCTGTGATAATGTCGGTATAGCACCATGTAGGACAAACCACATCCAACAGGAGTAACTGTCAATGCAAGAGGAAGCTGTCTGAAAAGGATGTCCAGGTACATTAAAGGGATGTCCAGGTACATTAAAGGATGTCCAGGTACATTAAAAAGATGTCAGGTACATTAAAGGGATGTCAGGTATATTAAAGGGATGTCCAGGTACATTAAAGGGATGTCCAGGTCCATTAAAGGGACGTCCAGGTATATTAAAGGGATGTCCAGGTACATTAAAGGGATGTCCAGGTACATTAAAGGGATGTCCAGGTACATTAAAAGGATGTCCAGGTACATTAAAGGGATGTCCAGGTACATTAAAGTGATGCCCAGGTACATTAAAGGGATGTCCAGGTCCATTAAAGTGATGCCCAGGTACATTAAAGGGATGTCCAGGTACATTAAAGGGATGTCAGGTATATTAAAGGGATGTCCAGGTACATTAAAGGATGTCCAGGTACATTAAAAAGATGTCAGGTACATTAAAGGGATGTCAGGTATATTAAAGGGATGTCCAGGTACATTAAAAGGATGTCCAGGTACATTAAAAAGATGTCAGGTACATTAAAGGGATGTCAGGTATATTAAAGGGATGTCCAGGTCATTAAAGGGACGTCCAGGTACATTAAAGGGATGTCCAGGTACATTAAAGGGATGTCCAGGTACATTAAAGGGATGTCCAGGTACATTAAAAGGATGTCCAGGTACATTAAAGGGATGTCCAGGTCCATTAAAGTGATGCCCAGGTACATTAAAGGGATGTCCAGGTACATTAAAGGGATGTCCAGGTGCATTAAAGGGATGTCAGGTACATTAAAGGGATGCCCAGGTACATTAAAAGGATGTCCAGGTACATTAAAGGGATGTCCAGGTACATTAAAGGGACGTCCAGGTACATTAAAGGGATGTCAGGTACATTAATGGGATGTCCAGGTACATTAAAGGGATGTCCAGGTACATTAAAGGGACGTCCAGGTACATTAAAGGGATGTCAGGTACATTAAAGGGATGTCAGGTGCATTAAAGGGATGTCCAGGTACATTAAAGAGATGTCAGAATCGTGGTGTCAGCATGGCCTTGAGTACATTATTGCTTACATAAATTCAATACTAACGGATGCCAATATACTAACTGCATGAAACACATTTGGTACTGTATTGTTTCTGCTGTTTTAGAAAAGCTTTTCATCATGTCCAAATACATTCATCTTGATGAGGTTCCTGGATAGTATAAAGTAGTGTAGGTGCAGCCAGACGCATATGTTCCTACCATCTCATTGGTAATGGGCAGACGTTTCCTGAGTAAGCTGGTAACCACTTCCACTATTGAATCATGTAGTTTGGGAAACCGCAAAAGCTCCTTCGGACATACACAAACACAAACACAGTACATACAGCAGGTTAGCTGTCAATTATTTAAAACATTTTAACACTTCCTATGTGAAAGAGGAAAGTATAACATTCTCCCAACACCTTTCCAAATATTATGAGCATCAAATCGGTCCCCTTCAGCACACGTTATGACATTAGACTTATGTGCATAATAGAGGAAAGTGAAAAGAATGTTTAATGTAAAACAAATGTCCACAGTGAAGGCAGCAGGACAGAGAAGATAAGAGCAGACTGAGGAGAGAATCCTAATGCCGGCTGTCCTGAGCCTCTGTGTGTCAATCTGTGAAGACTGTGACTTTCACTCTCCTCTTCACAGTTCAATTTTGTAGAAATTCTGAGCTATAAGGGCTTGTCAGGGAAAACAGAAATGTCTTAATCGTTTGAAATAAGAGTTTGACGTGCAGCACTATGCAGACACACTGTAATATTCAGGCCGCATCTTCCTCCATTGGTCACTCAGAACATTTATGGAAATTGAGCCACAGAATGAGGCATTTAAAAATCATCACATTATAGATGGCACAACAGCATTAGCATCTAACTAGGCTGGGGTGCATTTCCCACACAATGACGTAACTCACTGCTTATCCGTCATAGTATGATGCATCATTGTAGAAAATTAACTAGTTTGTTTCCTGAAAATGGTTTGAACCACGTTAGTCCTATTAGACGTGATATTGTACAAAAAACAGTTAACAACTTACAGTAAACGGTTGAGAAAGAAAACACATGTGCATCAGTAGATTGGATCTGTGCATTAGCTCTTAAAGTGACAGCAGCCTAATATTCCTACTGCTGTGTTTTTAATGTTAATCAAACAACAAAAAGACAAAGACCACTCACTTCTCTAAATAACTTTTGTAACTTTAACCCTCAGGTGCCCTTCGTTTCGGAGTCACACTTGTTATCTTCCCGGTCAAAAGTGACCGGACACCTAAAAATTTAATTTCCTCCATCCCAGTAAAACCAATGCAATTTATTTTTGTTCTATAATATTTATTCTTTGTAATTTAGTATTTTGAGACAATTTGATTGAATTTATTAATATTTATGGTCTATTTTGTCATGGAAAATATATATATTTTTAAAAAAATATATATTATGTTTTTCAAAAAAATATTAATGCAGTATTATAGTTTAATATAGAGTCTAGGCCTTCAGAAAAAAAAATATATTTTTTGAGGAAAATTAGCACCATCTGGTTACAGTATATAGAGAAAAAGCGTAGAATCATGGTGTAACCACTAGATGACATGTACAGCTCTCCATGGAGAAGCATATGAATTCCCCAGATGTTTATGAACACATTTTTTTTTGATGGATTTGAATATATAATGGAAACAATCTCAAAAACGATTTTTTATTAAAAAAATTTAAAAAATAAATAAATAAATAAATAAATATATTTTTTTTTGTCAATTTCCCATTCATTTCCTATGGGGGTCATTTTTGACCAAAAACCACAAGTGTGACTATTTTTTTTAAGACCACTTAGCATGCTCAGATTATGACCTTAATTTTTTGTGTGTTCACATATATAATGCCATAAAAGTCACCAAGTTTCGTAACATTTAGATGAAGCTGTGATTTTTAAAAATTCAAAACATACTTTTTGTAATCAAAATTTATTGGTGTGTATGTGTATAAAAGTGTGTTTGTATGTGTGTGTGTGTGGGTGGGTTTGTCTGTTTTGCACTCTAGATGTTGTAGAGCGTCACCCCTTTCCTGCGGTGTACTCTTTTTTAGAATTGTGGCCGATTTGTAGATTGCACGTACAAAAATTCCGAGAATTTTTTTTTTTGTCAATTTCCCATTCATTTCCTATGGGTCGGTCATTTTTGACCGAAGACCCATTTTTGACCGTGACTATTTTTTTTACGACCACTTAGCATGCTCGGATCATGACCTCGTTTTTTTTTTGTATTCACATACCCAATGCCATAAAACTCACCAAGTTTCGTAACATTCCGATGAAGTCGTGATTTTTAGAAATTCAAAACAGAAAATTTTTTTGGTCAGAAATGACCGAAGAGCACCTGAATGTTAACTATGTTGGTAATGTCAAAATATGTGATCATATTTGGCTTATGGTGCTTTTGGGAAATGCTTCCCTGCACAAAATGCATGTATGTATGGATGGATGGATATATTACTTTATGCAAGACTTTATTCCTAAGTGAGAAATACTTTTAGGGCTTGACAGTTTACGAAACTTTTGGGTGTTTATACTTGGATTTACTCCTTATAAGAACCAACTCAAACCATAAAGTGAACCGTAAAGTTTTAAAAAAATATATCTCTCTGGGATTTCATAGGCCATAATCAATTTGTTTTTGAGCAATTCAATATGACTATAAAATAATAATTATTATGATTTTGTGATTATTAAATATATTAAACAAAATAAGAAATATATTGTCATAATGCTATTGTACTGTTAAATAGATTAATACAATTAATTTATTTCACAGTAAACTTAAAATACTTACATGTACGTCGCACATTTTTCAAATGTTATATCATCAAGCATTTATTTCGACTGGTTGCCGCCGGCAAACAAATAAATAAGCTAGCAGTGTGAAGACACTGTATATTCATTTAGACGTGTGCAGCTCACAGCGTCTCAGAATGGCTTGATTCACAGCTGTTCTGAGACTGAAACACTGTAACATGAACTACACAAGTGTAAATAGCACGATTCACTCTACCAGCGCTAGCACATACGTTTACTTAAATCCCAGCCTCCTGCGCAATTTGTCAATCGGACTAAGCCATGTTGCATTTTTCTCCCGATATTCTGCAAAGCCCTTCTAACTACCCAATGAATGTATATGTGTAAAGCACTGACAGGAGAGTTAAGTTTTAAGATTTTAAGACTGGCTACACTACCTAATATTCCATTTCCTGTTTTTTTTTTTTCTGCATCAAATATTCAAAATCAGTGAATCACCTGTGTGCTGTAGGCCGAGCAGTGCTGGATGATCCTCTGAAGCTCCTCGTGTACGAGCTCCACACAGCGCATACTGGGCTCCTCCAGTCTCTTGATCTGTTTCTTCACCAGCAGCTCAAAGCTGATCTCAGGAACAAACAGCGCTGGCCGAGGACCCTACATCCATCACAACAGCCAAACACATTCAAAACACATTTAGTGTTTCCACAACGTCTGACCAATGATTTTACATTGCTTTTCCAAGCTATTCTAGTAGATAGGTTTAATTTAATAGTGATTGCACTCACAAAGAACTATTTATATTAGAAGTAATATTTTAGATTTAAGCAAATATATATATATATATATATATATATACGCTACCAGTCATCATTTAGAAGGTTCTGAAAGAAGTCTCACCAAGGCTGCATTTATTTGATTAAAATTACTATAAAAATAGTATTGTGAAATATATTTTAGTTTAATATAACCAAAACAGCTTAGTATTTTTGTGGAAACCATGATACATTATTTTCATTATTCTCAATGAATATAATTTATTTGAAATAGAAATCTTTTGTAACATTACAAATGTCTTTACTGCCACATTTGATCAATTTCATGCATCCTTATCAATAAGTATAATGAATGAATGTATTAATTAACTACTTTTTTTTACTCTTACTTACCCCAAACTTCTAAATGCGAGTGTATCATGCTTTTTTTGACAAAAATATTAAGTAGCAAAAACTGTTTTGAACACTGATAATATGGCCTAAAATAACACTTGCCAAGCGCCAAATGCGTGTAAAAAAAAACGTTGTTGGCAAGTATATTAAACAGTTTCTATCACCAATGACACTTGGGAGAGTTGACGCACCAATTTGTCAATTTTTAATATTCAAGCGCAAAAAGAAGCGGAAGGAAACTCAATTCGTTACTTGTTACCGAAGCGTGTGCCCAGAAATTCATGAATACTGTATTGAGCCCACTTTAACGTATTGCGCTTGAACAGATAACAAAACAAAACAAAAAGATGTCAAAAGGTCCATCTTGGCAAGTATTCTCATAAACATATTCAGTTATATCTTAAGTGAACTTAAACAGTTGAGAAAGAAAACACATGTGCATCAGTAGATTGGATCTGTGCATTAGCTCTTAAAGTGACAGCAGCCTAATATTGCTGCAGCTGTGTTTTTAATGTTAATCAAACAACAAAAAGACAAAGATCACTCACTTCTCTAAATAACTTTTGTAACTTTAACCCTCAGGTGCCCTTCGTTTCGGAGTCACACTTGTTATCTTCCCGGTCAAAAGTGACCGGACACCTAAAAATTAAATTTCCTCCATCCCAGTAAAACCAATGCAATTTATTTTTGTTCTATAATATTTATTCTTTGTAATTTAGTATTTTGAGATAATTTGATTGAATTTATTAATATTTATGGTCTATTTTTGCCATGGATATATATATATATATATATATATATATATATTATTATTTTTTTCAAAAAATTATTAATGCAGTATTTTAGTTTAATATAGACTCTAGGCCTTCAGAAAAAAACTATTTTTTTAAGAAAATTAGCACCATCTGGTTACAGTATAAAGAAAAAGCATAAAATCATGGTGCAACCACTAGATGGCATGTACAGCTCTCTATGGAGGAGCATGTGAATTCCCCAGATTTTTATGAACACATTTTTTGGTGGATTTGAATATATGGTATATTTGATTTTTTTTATTTTAAAAAATGTAAAAAAATAAAATAAAATAAATAAATAAAAAATTGTGAATTTTTGTGTTTTTGTCAATTTCCCATTCATTTCTTATGGGGGTCATTTTTGACCAAAGACCACAAGTGTGACTATTTTTTTAAGACCACTTATCATGCTCAGATCATGACCTCAATTTTTTTGTGTGTTTACATACATAATGCCATAAAAGTCACCAAGTTTCATAACATTCCAATGAAGCTGTGATTTTTAGAAATTAAAAACAGAAAATTTTTCGGACAGAAATGATTGTCTTTTTTACCGGTTTCACTGTATTCTTGATTAAATAAATGCAGTCGAGCATAAGAGACTTTTAAACAGTAGTAAATAACAACACTATAGATTTTTCAAAGACTTTTAACTTAATTTTAAATATATTATTTATTAAGAAATTATTTTATCCATTTTTATCTTAATGTTTATTTAACATTTGGAGGCTTGGAATTCACATTTTTACAATTCTAGGTTTTCCGTGACTGTGGGAACATTAAAAAAGCGACCTGAACCAGCATTTATTTGCTCTTTCTAAAACTCTTCATGTCAATCTTATAAAAATAATCATTTAGGCAATTCGCTTTGGTGACGCTTATTAGTGTAGAAAATACACACTTTATTTTTAAGAAAGTGAGCAAAGTACTGTATATGCTTATCTATTAACACACACATGCATGCATGCATGCATACCGTAGCGTTTCGAATAGCTGTGAGAATATCTAGCTCAGTGAGTCCTCCCAGTGGGTCAATTGACTGCAGGGTTCTTCCAAATGTCTCGTGGAATATATAACAGATCCGAGCTCCTCCACACCTACAATGAACAAATGCTCACACAGTCAGTCAGTCAATCCATGAAAATGTAAAATCATGCAGCACTTTTGGACATCATCACAGCCTTGTTGGCACATTCACACAGGCCTGGAGTCATACTCAACCGTCCAGCCAGAAAACGTCAATACGAGGCACTTAATTAATCGATAGCTGGTGTGGACTTAGCCAGATATGAGAGATGAACAGCATTTCATCCAACAGTGAACAGGGTGTAAATAAGGAGTTGGGCAGACTTGAGGATTATCCGTCTGTCAAATTCAGCCAAGCAGACGAAGTAAACATGGTGTGCTTGATATCTGTCAAGAGTTTCAGTGTGAAAATGACAGACTGTGACGCTGCTGAAGTCACTGAAAGAATGATTCAACAGGAATGTAGCCCCGGTAATGACAATATGTCAAACTTGATAACTTGGTGCCTGTGGTAAGTGGCTCCACAGATCACAGTTAGGATTTTTGAGTTCTCCAAGATCACAAGCTCAAACCTAATTGGCTGGATTTGTGCAATTTCTTTGAGTCTACCGTTGTATTGTAGTTAAAAATAAATGGCCAATGCTTACTTTTAATTGGGGCTTCAAAAAAAAAAAAGACCTTTTCAAATTCAAACCAAAAACGACACGATTGTAAACAAAGCTCAGAAAGAAGGAAACATTAACATATATCCTGCTGGATCTGTCTGCTGCCTTTGACACAGTTAACCACCAGATCCTCCTATCAATCCTAAAGTTGAAGGGCATCTCGGGAACCGGACTCCAATGGTTCAAGTCTAACCTCTAAGGTACATCCTTTAGGGTGTCGTGGAGGGGTGTGTGGTGTCTAATGCTGCGTTCACGTGCTATGGAAAGTAGGATATTTTCCACTTGTGAACTGGTATTTACCAGTGTGTTGCGTTCAAGTGCTTTTTTTGTCATAATGTGGTTAAAAGATGGAGATCCAGAACTGTTAAGGTCATTGCACACTGATTACAAAATTTTCGGATGCGTATTTTCGTGTCCGTCAGCCTAAAAATTCGTCACGCATAGAAACCTTGCACACCGAGTCCGTTGCGTATTTGTTAAACCTTTGCGGGGAAAAACGCAAAAATACCAAATGGATTCGTCAAGCAGTGAGGATGATTTTTGCCCTCCCTCTTATTGAAAAGAGAAGAAAGAGAAAATATTACGTCCATCCAATCCTGAAATTGCACCGAGAGGAGAGTTCCTTATTAAGGAGTTGCGAATTTATCCTGAGCGATTCAAAATTTACCTCAGAATGTCAGTGGGACAGTTCGATGCTTTGCTAGCGATTCTGGAGCCACATATTAAAAACAAGACCACCAATTTCCGTGAACCAATCGATTCTGAACGGAGACTGGCAGTGTGTCTGGTATGGACCAGGTATGGACACACACACACCCGCGCGGCAGACAGAACAGCTAGGCTGTTATTATTGTGTATATATTGTGCCCAAATAATACATTAGTTATCGAATAGGCTGCTCGATCACACCTTATTCGATCCTGAAATTTCAATCTGATTGAAAGGGGAGGTTTATTCATTTCATAATCCAATATAGAGAAGAGAACATAAACACTTGATCGAATTGAAAACCGAAACTGAAAGCACGGCGCATATGTGCAATGATTTGAGGACGAGCTCCCCCTAGCCCTGAATTGTCAAAAGACCTCTCAAAATGCTGGCTCTGGACGCGAAAAACGCAGAAAATCGAACCCGATCCGATTCATTTTATGACGGACGTAAGTTTCGGAGGCGGTGTGCAAGCGTGACTGACATAACGTGAGGTCGAATTTTTTTTTTAACGTGTGAAAATTTCGGATGCGAATTTCAGACTCAGTGTGCAATGGCCTTTATTTAGCTAAAACTATTTTAGATTGTTTAAGTCATCTGCAACAGCAAGAAAATGATTTATCTATAAGTATAAAATACCACGTGTGCATTTTCCACGTCGGCTTTTGGTATTTACCATAATTACTAGAGGTCGACCGATTCATCGGATTTGCCGATTAATCGGCACCGATAGTTGATTGGTGGAACTATCGTTATCGGCAAAAATCCGCACCGATAGTTATTTCCTGGTTTCGTCCGTTGCTGGGGCGGCTGAGAAGTGCGCGCTGTCATTCATTACTCAGTACGAGAGAGCTGAGAAGGGTCTGCTGGCATCATGCAGTACAAGAGCGGCCTCTAGAGGTGTCATAAAAACTATCAACTGATGCCTCGTGTTGTTTTTTTCGACACGTGACACTGCGAGCTGCACTGAGAGCGCGCGCTGTGTGGAGAGCGGAGATCGCTGACATCTGATGCGCGTGCTAAAGCACGGACAGCGAAAAGGCATGTACATGTACACAGGACATTTTGTCATATCATTATAAACTGATGAATTTGTTGACTAAATGCTGCATTAGTAGAGAAAGAACCGCACAATAGTATGTTTGTTTGCCTTCGAGAGTGGCTGAGAGGACGCACATTAGTAGTACCTCAAGCGGTTAAAACACGGACACAAAAACACACCTAAGTCCGACCCGAATGTTTAATGTCACAAATTGTTCCCATCTATTTGGATTAGTTTATATCCAGCTGGTCACTTTGATGCATTCATTATGCAGCGACGTTGCATATAAGCTAGAGACGTATGGTAGCAAACTGATATGTTCATACAGCCGACAAAAACAAACGAATCAGAGAAGCATTCGATTTCGGTTCTTTTTTCACCATCACTTTAATACATATTTATTTGATTATATTCATTCAGTTCTATAAAATACAGGGCTCCAGACTGCGACCAAATAGTCGCATTTTGCGACCAAAATTTGAGAGTGTGCGACTGAATTTTACATCCAGTTGCACATGTGCGACCGGTAAATTTGCCACACGTTAAACGCATGGTGAGCGTGGAAGGGACGCGTCAATGAATCCGTGACAAGAATAGCGCGATTAAACGTCTGTGGGAACATGAGAGAAGGAGTGAGACAGAGACAAATATCACAACCTGATGTGCGTCTGAGCAATAAGCGATCTATCGACACGTTACCTAGCAGCGAATACAAACAAAATGAAAGTTAAACTAAAATACGCAACTCATAGGCTATGCTTCACGGACCGTTGGCGTTTTTATTAGGTGGGACCAATAATAGACAGAGCAGCGCATAGTGGAGCCCCCCGAACCACCGGCAGTAATAAAGCCCCGAACTTGCCAGTCGCTGGTTAACACATTAATTAAAGGGTTAGTTCACCCAAAAATGAAAATTAAGTCATTAATTACTCACCCCCATGCTGTACCAACCCCGTAAGACCTTCGTTCATCTTCGGAACACAAATAAAGATATTTTTGATTGAATCTGAGAGCTGGATCACTTTTCCATAGACAGCCTGAGGGACTGGCTCTTGACGGCCCAGAAAGTCATTAAAAGAAAAGGTTTAAATATTCCATGTGCCTACAGTGGCTCAACTATAACTTTATCAAGCGACGAGACTACTTTTTGTGCGAAAAAAAACGTAAATAACGACTTTATTCGACTTTCCATTACTTCCTTATGGGCGCATGCGCGAGAACTGAGACGAGACCGTTCTTCTTCGACTACTTTTTGTTACCGGCTGCTCACCGCTTAGGAGTATTACCGCCCCCTACCGTATAAGATGACGTACTGCTTGTAAACAGAACGTTTTGCGCCTCCGGCTATATCAGTACGTCATCTTATACGGTAGGGGGCGGTAAAACTCCTAAGCGGTGAGCAGCCGGTAACAAAAAGTAGTCGAAGAAGAACGGTCTCGTCTCAGTTCTCGCGCATGCGCCCATAAGGAAGTAATGGAAAGTCGAATAAAGTCGTTATTTACGGGTTTTTTTTCGCACAAAAAGTAGTCTCGTCGCTTGATAAAGTTATAGTTGAGCCACTGTGAGCACATGGAATATTTAAACCTTTTCTTTTAATGACTTTCTGGGCCGTCAAGAGCCAGTCCCTCAGGCTGTCTATGGAAGAGTGATCCAGCTCTCAGATTCAATCAAAAATATCTTTATTTGTGTTCCGAAGATGAACGAAGGTCTTACGGGGTTGGTACAGCATGGGGGTGAGTAATTAATGACTTAATTTTCATTTTTGGGTGAACTAACCCTTTAACATTAACTAAGGTTAATAACTGCTGTTCATTGTTTGTTAATTAACATACTACATTTTTAAATTAAGGTTTTTATCTGTTAACCATAGTTAAAACTCTATGAACTAACATGAATGATCAAGGTGAAATTGTATTGCTCAAATATTAATGCTGTAAACATTTATATTGCATAATGCACATAGTTCGTAAACTAGCTAATAAATCATTGTTAACAAATTGGACTTGCAACATGTTATAGCTAAAGAAACACACATTTGACATATTTTAATGTTTAAATTATTTTCAGATGGCAAATTTTGTTATTATTTGAAAGTCTTTTTTATTCATTAGGTTGGCTTGAAAAAGAACAGTTAAACAGTTACATTTGGAATGTTTAATTTGTTATTTAGATTATTATTATTTTTTTGTTTGAAAGAATGCCTTTTATTGACTTGTTTTCATGGTTCATACAGTTTTTTGTATTTTTATAATAAAGTTCAGCACTGTTTTACATGGAGTGTTATGTTTGTTTTTATCCAGTATCAATTTTATAAACTATCGGTTGATTAATCGGTTATCGGCAAGTACAGCCCAACCTAACTATCGTTATCGGTAAAATCCAATATCGGTCGACCTCTAATAATTACCATAGCACATGAACGCAGCATAAGACCCAACATCTAGCTACTGGGGTGCCTCAGGGCTCAGTGCTTGGACCACTCCTCTTCACCATCTACACGACATCACTAGGATCTGCGATTCAGAAACATGGCTGCTACGCTGATGACCCGCAACTCTACCTCTCATTCCAGCCTGACGATCCAAGGGAAGCTGCTCGTATCTCAGCCTGCCTCACTGACATTTCTGGCAGGATGAAGGACAACCACTGGCACTGCTCCCTTTTACCTAAACTCATTACTTCAGACTTATGTGCCATCCAGAAACTTGCGTTCTGCAAGCGAATGTCGTCTTGTGGTGCCATCTCAAAGAGGCACAAAATCTCTTTCTCGGACATTTACCATGACTGTTGCCTGCTGGTGGAATGATCTGCCAAACTCAAGCAAGAAACCACCAAAGCTGCTTTCAAGAAAGAGCTGAAGACGCATCTTTTTCGGCAGCACTCGATCCAGTAACACTAACACTTCCCCTTCTATTCAATTTTTTTTTTATATAAAAATAATATATTATATTATATATTAAACATGGATGAATCTTTTGCAATAAGATCTTTTGCAACAAGAATTTAGAAAATATATTTTTATTTCATGCTAACTTTAAAACTTTGTTCCCAGTATAGATATACAACGATTTTTTTTTTTTTTTTTTTTTTTTTTTTTTTGAAGAGCCTATTTCCTACGTTGTTTGGTTTTAGTTTTCTAGGAAATAAATTAAGAGAAGCACTTTGAGAAGAATTTTCACTTTTTTCCATCCTGGCTGCAATCAATCAATCAATCAATCAATTGAGGAAGGGCATATAAATTTTTAAAATATATATATATTTTTTTTAATTGTCAATTTTGATTTCATGGTGACTTTAAGTGAACTTGTATTTTCTGGCTTATGTACTCACAATTCAGAGGTCTGGATGTGCCTGGCAGTGCCTTCGATGGTGCTGCAGTAGTCGGTGGCGAACTTGGTGACGATCTGCAGCAAGGTGGCGCTGTGGTCTTCCACAGGCTGCCCATAGCTGTTGAGTCGGGACTGGTACTGGGCGGCGAGCACCGTGACTCGTGTCTTGAGCTCGGGGAGGCAGTCTCTGATGTGATGCATTAGCAGTCGGCTCAGGGTGCGAGCCAGGTATCGAGAGCCGCAGCGGGAGGCTAATGACGGGTAATGGCGCTGAAGAAACGCCTGCTCGTCTTTGCAGGAGTCAGTGAGACACTTTTGGGTGTTCAAGTCATGCTGGCTCCTGGTGAAGTACAAAAAAAAAGTTATAGGACTGAATAGTGGATCAAAGCCTGCAAAATTATTCAACAGAAGTAGGAAGGCATCAAGGTGAATCTGAACTCACTCTCAACAACATGCTTTCATCTAGAAGATTTTAGGCAGAATATACACTATCTGTCAAATTTTGGAAACATTACCTTTATTTTAAGGTGACTAAGTTACATTGTACTTACTCAATAAGTAATATTAATTAACTACATGTACTTACTATAGAGTTATAGCTAGGGTTTAGTTACTATTATTATTACTATTGTAAGTACATCATTTAGTAGTGAAGTGTAGCGTAACTAAGTCATTAAAATAAAGTGTCTTATGCTCACTAAGACTGCATTTATTTACTAAAAAATACACAAAAACAGTAATATTGTGAAATATCACAATTAAAAATACATTTCCATTTTTATAAATTGTAAAATGTAAAGACCACAAGTGTGATTATGATGTATTACAAGTATCTCTCCAAACTCTAACCTGTTTGTGCCAAACAATCCTATCTCGTTATCAACACCTGCACTCGTAGTGACGTGTCAAAAAGGGGTGGAGTCATGCATCGTAGTGACGCGTCAAAAAGGGGTGGAGTCAATAAACGTACTTGACTAGGTTAGTACAAGTATTAAATATTAAACATAAAACAGAATTCCCTTGTACTTTTAAAGCATAATATTTTGATGAAGCCCCTCCTTCCGAAATACAAAATGTGCTGTGATTGGTTAACTGGCCCAGTGTGTTGTGATTGGCAGTGCTTTGCGCGTGTCCCTTCATAACTGCGAGATCTTCTCTAGTGTAAATATTGCGGATGGCATCAATTTCAAACCAATTCAAGCCTGATTCAGACCCTGACAATGTTAACGAACCAGAGGACTTTGCAAGCACGGATTTCCCTGGACACGTCAGAGTGGTATGACTTTTGTAAATTCCTTATACATTATAGAAATGATGTTATCCACCATTTAATCGTGATATTTGTCGGAAAACTAAGGTAATTACAAGCAGTAATCGATCACAAAACCATGTTTAACATTGGAGAACAGACTCACAAAAGCGAGAGCTAACAGAAAACAAGCTGTTCTCCATAAAATGTGCAGCGGACAGATAAACGTTGGGGTTTTGATGTTCAGGAATTAAGTTTTAACCCCTTAAAGGTCAAACAAATGGAATGTTGTGGAAAAAAACAGCGTCTCTTTGACAGCGATAGCACAGCTCAAACAGGCCTCGACCGCTCTTTTGCCTTTTCCGTGGGCGGGGATTATTTAAATGAGAAACATTGTGATTTCGCAAGATCTGTAAAAATCGCATTGCAGTCAAAACAAGTCATTCGTTGTAGATCTTGAAAAGTGGATTCTGATCAATAAAATATCTCTCTTTGGAGTGGACTTAGCGCTTTGTAATCTTGCGGATCTTTTTTTATGCTCAAACAGCTACATTACACACTAACTAAAGGTGAAAAATATGTTTAAATGTTAAAGTTTAAATGTTAAACGGATGTAAACTGAAAAAAAGCACTGTTTTTTTATACGTTTCGTATACTGTATTTGTTCTACTGGTTGTTATTTGCATCTTTGCATTCTTATTTTTAATAACAAAGATCAAATAACTACATTGTGATTAGTAATATAGTAATTATTATTAATAAAAGAATTGGAGAAAAAGATGCATCGTGGTGATTCAAGAAACGTTTTATAATCCAAATGTTACTCTGAATCTTAATCAAATCAAATTGTAAGGCAGGTGGAAATTCACACCTTTATTTGATTTGATTGAAAATTAGGTAAAAAAAAATATTCCTGATATTCATTCTAATATGATGATTTGGTGCTCAAGAAATATTATTATCAGTGTTATGTAATATTGTTGTGAAAACCGTGACACTTTTCTCAGGATACTTTGATGAAAACTCAGAACAGCATTTCTTTGAAATGGAAAAAATTTGTAACATTATACGTGTCTTTACTTTCACTTTGTTGATCAATTTAACTTAATAAATGTATTCATTTCTTTTAAAACAACAACAACAACAACAAAAAACTTACTGACCCCAAAGGTTTGAGTGGTTGGAGAAGTCAAAAAAGAGGTAATTTTAGTGAAAGAGCAAGCCAAATCACATTTTGAAGGCTCACTTGGAAAGTAAATCTACTATTTACAGAGTTACTATGGATTTCATATTGACTTTAAATATAGAGATCGTTGGCATCATTAGGCATGTATTGTTCTTAGACAAATGAAAGTGTATAGTTCTTTCCATTTGGTCAAAGTGAATTTCTAAAACAATCTGCAGAGCCTTTTTACAGGATAGAGGCGAGCTGATAATTGTTAGTACACTGCCCACTACTGGAAAAGACGAAGCTGTAACTTTGGTTGTACTGTGCACAAGATTCTGAAGTAAATGCAAATAGTGCTTTCATGGGCAAAAGTAAACATAATTTGCCACATTTCTGTGGCACTGAAGATGGTTGCTAGCGAATTTTGATGTGATTACTAGGGCAGGTTTGGAGTATTTGGTTACTGGTTCAAGACTTTATGGTATTTTGTTATGGGTCGGCTGCTTCCTTCAGTTCTGCCTGTTTTGTTTTATCATCCAAAACACATGATTTGAAGAATCATTCACGTCTGTAGGCCAAATGACATGCAATATTAAAGGGATAGTTCACTTTGAGATTAATTTTTGGTATGTTTTAGCTTACCTCAAGGGCATCCAAGATATAGGTGTCTTTGTTTCCACAGTATTTTAAAATTTGATATTTTTAGGTCAAACCGTTCTTGTCTGTCAGTCATATAATGCAGGTCTATGGTCACCACCTCAAAGAGGTGAATTACCTGAAAAAAATTAAACATGATTTAATGACTCGTAAACGTAAGTACACATTGATGGCCTAAGACACGAAACGAGCGGTTTGTGTGTGAAAACGAACAGTATTTATATCGTTTTTACCTCTTGTAACCACAGCACTAGAGATCACATTTGGACGTGGCTGTGGTTACAAGAGGTAAAAACGATATAAATACTGTTCGTTTTCACACACAAACCGCTCGTTTCGTGTCTTAGGCCATCAATGTGTACTTACATTTACGAGTCATTAAATCATGTTTAATTTTTTAGGTGGTGACCATAGACCTGCATTATATGACTGACAGACAAGAACGGTTTGACCTAAAAATATCAAAATTGAAACTACAGCGGAAACAAAGACACCTACATCTTAAATGCCCTTGAGGTAAGCTAAAACATATCAAAATTAATTTGAAAGTGAACTATCCCTTTAAAGATTAAGGATTGGTTTAAATCCCTGACATTAAGTATTGAGGTCTACTGATAAAAGTAATGTACATTGCGCTGAACACATCTTTTATTTGTTGCCAGAGCTCGCTCTCCATAAATGCTCTCCCAGGAAATCTTCAAGTGCTTTCCTGTTTGACTGCTCGTTGTTTGAATCCTCAAAGCGAGTGTTGGTTAATATTGCAGAGATGTTGGCCCGCAGCTGTTTCTGATTAAGTTAACGAGAGTCGAGAAATGAAAAGTGTCACTGCAGTTCTTCTCCCCCAACTAAACTGTCTCCCTGTATTCGTAAAGCACATGCTACAGCCCAAGCTGAATAAACCAGTGATTTATCTCCGGCACGGCTCTGCTAGATGATAGCGGGTAGACGTGGTACCCTTGGGTGCTTGTGCTTAAAAAGGCAGGGCAGGAGAGGATAACAGCGCAGGGAATATTACAGTCACTGCTCCTTAGGGGTGTGATAGAGGAACTCGAAATGTAAGAAAATTACACTGTTAAAATGTCGCACTGCTTTTCACACGGTTGATTAAGTTTCTACCGCAGTTAAAGAAGTCGAAAGGGCCGTGTGCTACACTTTATTCTTTCCCTGAAGCCCTACTAATGTCATTCAGGATTTCCTGTGCATGTTGTGAAGTTATTTCACATGGTCATTCTTTAACGCTCATGCTTATACAGGCTGTGTTTGCTTTAGGACTTCATATGTACTGTAAATGTGCTGTAATGATGAGAAAAAACAGAACGCATTTTTGCTAAATGTGTGAAATACATCACTACAGGAAACTGGAGCAGTTTCAAGGTGAAATGATCACTTGTGTTGCTAAAAGAGCTACAGGGCTCTGTGGTTTTTGTTTAGAAGAGTTGAAATTTGAAAAATGTAGATTTCACAATTATTTTCAAGTTTGGGGTCAGTAAGTTTTTGATGAATACTTTTATTCAGCAAGGACACATTAAATTGATCAGAAGTGACAGTAAATTAACACTTGAAGGGGTGTGCATAAGACTGACATGACACCTTCATAACCATGACATGACATATATCTTGAATATGAAGTTTATGACAACTGTCATTAAGTGTCTTTTGCTCAATAATAAGATTTTGAATGCAAATATGACATTGTTTAAGATGTCTTTGTTATGACATCTTGACATAAAATGAAGTTAAACTGTAATGTGGTTGGCTTTGACATTGGCTGTCATGAGGTCATTATAACTGTGTCATGAATATTTTTCTTGACCTCAACTACAGTGGTACTGATTGACTTTGTCATTAAAGTGTTATAATGGCTTCATGACAGCCAATGTCAAACCCAACCACATGACAGTTTAATGTAATGTTAACCAATAAAGCTTCTTAAGTTTGATCATTAATCTGCTATGTCATGTTTATGACAGGTTGTGTTGTCTTAGTAATGTCAAGTTGTCATGACAAAGACACTGACAGGTTATGATGTATTGGTTTATGTCAAGGTGTCATAACAAAGACATCTCAAACAATGTCATATTTGCATTAAAAATGTCATAACTGAGCGAATGACACTTAAAGGATTAGTTCACTTTTGAAAATACTTTTGCTGATAATTTACTCACCCCCATGTCATCCAAGATATCCATGTCTTTCTTTCCTCAGTCGAAAAGAAATTAAGGTTTTTGATGAAAACATTCCAGGATTTTTCTCCATATAATGGACT